CTTCTCCTCTCAAGGGTACCTCGAGTAGAGTTAAGTCGGCGTCAGAGCCGGTTGAACTGAGTAAGTGGCACGAATATGAAGTCTCTGAGAAATGACTACATACTTGTGCCATTTGCTGTAATGACTATCCGTCTGTGGGGTCCACGTACAGCGGAGTTCCCGAAGGAACTGTATCCGCGACTTGTCATCGAATCGGGTGATCCAATGGCTGGTCCTTTTCTCGCTTGTTTACCTTATTGCTAGCTTTCATCAAATATATTGTCTCATTTTTCGTGAAGAAGCAAAAACTTCCATTAGTTATTATTTTTTAAATTAGAGGTAGTATTAGCTAACATTACATAATATTAAGAAAATACAGAATTTTGATAAAAGCGTTGAAAATTGTATCGTTAAACGTATTTTAAAGTTTACGAATTTCATAGGTAAATTTTAGATATGTGTATAGAAATAGAATATAATAGATAGAGTGCGCAAACAAACATGTCATTGTCAGCGAAACGTAAAACGATTTCAATAATAACCGGATCAATCGCAATCGCAACCCTAACGAATACGTACGTAAACGTTTACTTGATGAGCGTCAACACAAAAAAGGTGAACCAAGGATTACGGTGCCGCAGTGACTCGCATTTCGTTTTACTTTACCCCGGGCTCACATTACCGCGCTCTAGTGAATGCAAATTATTTTTAAACATAATTACAATTATGATTGTGTTAACACTGTTTGTTATTTATTCTTTTTATTTTTAAACGAAAATGTCATCAGCCCGTTAATAGTCCCCTGCTGTCATGGCCTCCTATTGTAAAGGAATTTGTAATAACTACGCTTGTATGGCGGATTGATAAATTTATCTATTTTTAATACTGCACAGGCTTTTAATTAAAAATATGTAATCCTTTTCACAATTATAACAAAATTATCGTTCGGTTGGATTAAATAGGTTCTATCTGTTATTTTATATTTCGGCTCGACTCGACCGGGCAAAGACTACGCTCTCACAGAATAAAAAGTAAAATAGCAACGCAATTTTGCTGTTTTTCGTATGGTGAGTGTAGAGAACCGGACCTTTTTACTGGAAACGAGACCTTTTTACTGGAGACATTCCATCTCAGTCCTCACGGGTGACAACGCATCTGCATTTTGATTCCTAATCGAGGATAGATGTACATGTTTTCGGCCACACCATCCACTTACGATCAAGCGGAGTATGTGTACTTTAGTCACCCTTATTTTAATATAATAAATACTTTACGATATAATAATCCGTTACTGTAAATTGGAGTTTTAGTTTTGTACGTGAACTCCACGTCTGCGGAACGAGTAAACATTAAAAATCTTTCAATCTAAACATTACTCTCGCTTTTCAACATTTTTTTAACAACATAACGTTTCTTAAATATTGTTGTGATTCATTCTATGAATCAGGAATGCGAGAAAAAAATATACACGTGTTTGTGTGATGTAGCGTTATTAAGTAGTCCGTTGAATGTTTATTTCTACAATATGTATTATTTATCACAAGTTTTCTTTACAAGTTAGTGTTCAAGGAAATCTTTGGTTTATTCTTGTCTAGCTTAGACAACAATAGTTTTGTTTGCTTCGGAAATAAACAGAATTTAAGTAAATAAAGTTAACACTTTATTACTTTATTTATATATCTAGAGAAGACGTTGTTAGATTTCACAAGAAACATATTTAATGGACTAAATTATGAGAGAGATACCGTAAACCGTGTAGTGGCGGTGTAAGAATACCCACTAACTCCATACCGTCGCGTGGGTGTCGTAAGAGGTGACACAGGGAAACTGAAATAAGAGATGGGCAGCAGCTTCCTGATAACAGCTGAATAAAAAAAAAAAACAGCAGTTGCCATACCCGCCAAGCATGGCTATAACAATAATAATATAATTTATTTAGCTCCAAACATACACACAAATTAACATAACGTAATTAATTATTTAATGGAATGAACTAAAAAGGCGTCTACTCAGCAGAAATGTTATAGAAACCACATAGTGGTAACTACAACTACTGATTTTCAGTAAATGTCATTATTATGGAAAGATCCCCCTATTAGGCAATCTATGGGGGAGGCCTATGTTCAGCAGCGATTTTATAGGTTGCAATTGATAACAGAATAGATGAGAGAGATAATTAAATTGATACATTTATTAAAGGATCAGTTAGTTAACGTACTGTCATTTCTCTATAACTAATATAAGAATATGTCTAAAAACTAAACATTTTTATATTGTAATCTAATGCAAGGACTTTATGTATTGGATGATATATCCCAATTTGAAATCTTTTATTCGGGCTATGTTACCTTTCGTATTATATATTGCATGCCTTAAGCGCTAAGCACGTAGGTGTTCTACTAGCGCCTAAAATCAAGAATACAACGTTATGTCGCATGAAATCGTATCTAACGTTCTTTACAGAAAGGTAAATGATTGTTGAACTTATTTTTTTTAAATAGATTAATTGCTATTTTTACATTTAAAAAGTGATTTTAGTGGCTTATGGACTTATGGTGTAGATGTATCACGTCCGCATGGAGGGGTAAACACGATAACTTTTGAAAATATCAATTGTTCAACTCAATCTATTTTTTTATCTATTATGTGGGAAGCCATGGAATATGTAAATGGCTGTTTAATTTTATTTTGTTTAGTTATAAATTTTCGGGGCTGACAACCTGAATAAAATAATAAAATTTATATACTGTGTATTATTTATTTGCTAGGTGGTAGGACTCTCATTCTTTCTAGAAGTCTGTCTGGATCGGTACCCCCCCTGTTAACTATTTCTGCCGGCAAAAAGCTGTGCTTGCACTTCTGTGTTCCGGCTGAAGACAAAGAAGAGTATAAGAGCCAGTATAATTCAATCCCACTGAGTGACTCCATCTTAGCACTAGAAAGGAAATGACAACGTGCCTGTTGCCTTCTTTGTTTGAAGTTGACCGCAGGTGTTCATTAACTGCATTTAGGTTTCCTAACCCTCCCGGATTGCCCGGGAGACTCCGGTAATATTGGTTAATCTCCCGACATTTGCAATAATTTCTCCGGTTTTTTCTAAAAATTATATGAATCTATCGCTCGCACTCGCTTTGAGAAATCGCCAAATTTTAGAAGTTGCCCCCTCTTCAGCTCCTTTACCTAATTTAGTTCGTTTATTATTTCAATTACCCAATTACAGTGGATAACTGCTCGATAACATTAATAACGAATTTGACTTTGAGAAACATTAGGGTCATATATAATTATTTGTATTAAGATAATATTATATGAACTCGCTTCTAATGTAATATCCATGAAAAGTTTTATGTTTGTCATAATTTCTTTGATAGTGTTAATTTAAAGTTGCATCTATATTTCAAACCTATTTACAAATGTTAATATCCATCCGTCCCATTTCGCCCCCAGGGTGTCTTAGGTGACTATCGGAAAGGCCATACACACCTTATGGCAGCTGGATACAAGTAGCAATGGAAACAACAAAGTCAACAATCTAATTCAAAAACTGATATAAAAATATTATCTATTCAGGCGTAGGTATCATTATCATAACTGAGTCATATCAATTAACCAATCGTTAGAATTTTTCCAGGCTACACGCATTCATTAATAATAGCGCCTACTTCTTGCTTCATTAGATACGTATTCGGAGCAATAATTATGTATTGTTTTCAATTTGTTTGTTAAAAATGTATGATTTTGATACTTTAACGACTTGATTTTAGTCACCTTATGTGAATGAAAATCAAGTCTTGATGTGATCATGTCATATTTTATTTGCTCAACTTATGTTCAAACTGATAAACATACACTAGGACATTATATTTTATATAGCAATGTATATAAAACATAAAATACGTAAATAATTTTTTAGTTCTACTATTATTACATCTTTACTAACTCTTGTGTCAACTGTTGCAAGACCTGATTAATGATAGTTATGATGATTTGTCGATAAAAACATTTAAATTATTTAATAGTACCCGGATGATCGTATTTTCATATTTTTAAAGAATACTAACAAAAAAGGGTTTGGAATAATAGAGTTTCTCACAAAAGAAGGGAACTTGAAAAAAAGAAAAAAGAAAAATGTCGGACCAGAGACAGGATGCGAACCACGGAACTCCGATATCACGCCCGACCGACATCCCACCTGAGCTATTACAATCGTTATATATATATGAATATCGACATTTTTAATATATATATATATATATATATATATATATATATATATATATATATATATATATATATATATATATATATATATATATATATATATATATATATATATATATATATATATATATATATATATATATATATATATATATATACAAGAATTGCTCGTTTAAAGGTATAGGATTAGAGTTAAAATACTCGCATTCTGCAAAATGATCTCTGGACGTCAAAAGATTTTTGAAAATCTATTCAAGAGTTATTTGATTCTAAATGATCCCTACTTTAAGCTCTTTAGGCCCTACTAAATTATGACGTTATTTTGCAACATCCGTCATTAATAATTTGTTAATTTGTAAATCACGGATGTAGAGGGATGTTGGTACTTACAAGCTTCATTCTACCTATGTATTTGCTTTCGAATTTAATTACGAACATCCCTTACTTAAACGCTCCGTTCAATATTAATGGTGTTCTTTAATTTATGTGGTGCACAATGAATATTTTTTATTATGTGAATAATATTTATATAATTTATGATAAAACTCGATTTACTAACTTATAAAATAATATGATTAATACATATATGATATGTTAACATAGTAATATATGTGTGCAGCGTTTACTCTGATGTAGTGTTTACGAAATATAATGTTATGATTATGACATCATAAAAAATTCTTACAAGTTAATTGCCTCAACAAGCGCCAGTAATCGATAAGAGTTTCGATTGTCGTTCCCTTCGATCAACAATAGGTCGTTACTATGTATTTATTAAAGTTTTTGTTTGCTTGTTCCAGCTGGACACAAGTGGCAATGGATACATCGACCTCAAGGAGCTAAAAGACGCGTTGGACAGCGTCGGGTACAAAATCCCACAATGGAAGGTTGGTTAAATTACTCAATAACCTTTATAAGTATAAAAAAAATACGTGTACACGCTATTTAAGATAATAATAAGGGTATTTAGGATAATAATAATAAGATTCCGATGGTGTTTTTATAATAATTAATGTAACATATCATAATTCTAAGGTTGATATGCTGATGAAATTTCAGAGATAATTATTTCGCGTTTAAACCCAAACTACAATGTTCAAATTTGAGTCTAGCCTAGATCGTAATATGGCGGGTATTTTTTAATTTGAATCCAGATAATATTATGTTACACCAAAGACATCATATGGTACACACGTTTTGACATTAGGGAGTTTGAGTTTAAATTCGAAATTCTCTCTGAATTAATAGCGGCCTAAATGGGCGTCATGTCTCATGACGGTCTCTTTCTTGGATATTTTAAATTATATTAAGATTTAAAAAAATACAACAAACGTATAATTAATCGTAATTTAAACAGTAATTTCACCATGTATGGGTGATGTAAGAATGAACTATGTGTTAAATTAAATGCTTTTTTAAGTGGTAGAGCCATGCTGCAGTTATATTAGTGGATCCTTTCCTTTCCGTTTCGTCTCATTTACACATAACACATCTATTCCTCTATCATATCGCATATTTCATCCTACTTATCATTCATTGCTCCACATACATTCAACGGAGCCAGACGGGCTTAAGCAATCCACTTTTAGTTGCACTTTTTTTTCAAAACGTCATTGGTTTTTCAGGTGCGGTGTATGATCGAGGAGTACGACAATGGTGCCCGACAGGGACGCGGCGTCAACGGCAGCGTGAACGGCGACGCACGCAAAAATGGCATGTCCCTGACTGAGTTTGAAGATCTGTGCGCCAATCTTAAAGCACAACAGGTAATTAAATATTACACCAGAATTTTTCAAGAGGCGTTGTAAATGTATAGGACCTTTTGAAGTGAAAGTGTAAATTAATTATTAGAATTTTGATTATATCAGCCTGTTAATGTCTCTCAGCGTAGGCCTCCTCAGCGCCACAGCAACAATATCAAAACTTTTATATACTCTTCGTCTTTCTACATATCTCCACACTCGGAATACGAATATGAATACTGACTCCAAACATCGTCCATTTCATAGTATATTGCACTTAAAGTTTATCAATAAAACAATATTTCCTTGATAGTAATAGTACTGAATCTATTATTTTTATATTTAATAATAATAATGCCTTGTTGTGGCAACGTAAGAAAATCCATTATAACCCGTATCATCCCGTGGGTATCGCATCAGGCGACGGAGGGAAATAAAACAGTAGAAGGGCAGCGGCATATCCTGATAACAAAAAAATATAAAAAACTGCGGTTTCACTCGCCAAGCGGGCAAGTATCCCTCTTATGAGGCAAATGAGCTGCCTCGTTGGTCTAGTGGTTCGAATCCCGGGTCGGGCCAAAAAATTAATTACTGAGTTGTTTCGTCAAGAAATTTTCAGTAATTGCCCGGAGTCAGGAAATTGGCGATGTCTCACCCCCGTAAAGCCGTTGGTCCTGCGCCTGATCTCTCTATGGTCGTGTCGGTTTACCGTCCTATCGGATTATGAGAGTGAGGGAATAGAGAGTGCACCTGTGCCTGCGCATACACTTGAGCACTATAATCCTGTCCTGCGCCGATGGCTAGCCTCCGCTGAGGTAGGCCGCCGTGACCGAAATTAGGTCTGGAGGACATTATGAGGCAATCTATGGGGTAGTCCTTTGTTAATCTGTGGATGTGCTGTGGACTTTTGATGGGCTGTAATGAACGAAGGAAAAATTAACAGTAAAGGAATAACATTAATTATACTAAATATTAAAAAAAAACACTCCTGGCAATGAACAAAGGTTACATGGAGTCTTGATTGTATTTGGATAGCATGGATTTGATGGTAGATTAGTGAATTAAGTTGTAACAAAACATAAAGTGGTAAACAAAAAAACGAATTTTATAGAAGACGGGATCCTTTTTTTTATTTTCCGTCCGCCGAAAACAGCTTATTTACTGCAAGCTTTAAAAGTCGTACCAGCAGCTATGGAATAAGGGTGACAACCGAGCACATAGTCCGCCTGATGGCCCATAGACCACATCAATCCCCGATTAAGAATCAAAATGTAGATGCGTTGTCAGTCCTGAGCCTCATTACTAGTAATAAGGGTTCTTCGGTTCTCTGCACTCACCGTACTGAACCCAAAATTATTAAGTTGCTATTTTACGTGGGTATTCTGTGAGAGCGTGGTCCTTCGCCGGCCGAGTCGACCCATTCATGCTTCAAACATAATATAGCTGCAACGTGGCGCTACGACGTTACTTTTGGCTCTTTAATATATCCCACACAAGTAATAACTTCCAATAATATGCAAATGTTTTCGCACTTAGACAATTTTGTCACTTGAGATAAGCTAATGCAACATTTTTTTTGCAGAATTTTGGATAATGATTTGATGTGATAGAAGCGAAAGGAAGTTGTAAGGATAGTGTAAGGAAAGTAGAATAGATTAGAATTGAATAGAATGTATTTTTTATTCAATATAGATTACAAGAATACTTTTGGTTCTGAAAAAAAACCTCTGTCCTAGAAAGAACCAGCAAAAAACCTAACTAGATGTTTTTAAATAAATTTAATTAACTATATAATATTTTATACAATTGTCATGAACACATTTCGAAACAGCATGGTAGCAATAAATCATTCTCAGGATTTATTATCAATCATGTACGAGGGTGGATTGAAAAGTACTCGGCCTAACACAGATCCATTCAATTCTAAAAATCAAATCTACCCACATTATTTAGTTCAGTTCAGACTAGTTCATTGTGTGAAGTTCGAAACGTGTGCGATAGTTAGTTGTGATTTTATAAATTTATTAACAAAGTAATCGGACATAATTTCCGCGAATGGAGCAAATCGAGCAGCGTGCCGTCATTAAGTACCTCCATAAGAAGGGGCTATCATCAAAAGCCATCCATGATGACATGGTCAGTACATTAGGCGATTGTGCTCTGTCATATTCATCCGTCAAAAAATGGATAGCAGAATTTAAGCGTGGTAGAGAGAGTGTGAAAGATGAACCCCGCTCTGGAAGGCCTTCGACGTCAACTACTGACGAAAATATTAAAAAAGTACTTGATTTAATAATGGGAGACCGCAGATTAAAAATTAGAGAGATAGCCGAGATTATAGGCATCTCTTATGAACGAACTCAAAACATCATTGTCAACGAGTTGGGTTTCCACAAGGTGTCTGCGAGGTGGGTTCCGCGACTGCTTTCAGTTGAACAAAAAAGGACGCGATTGACTATTTCACGCGACTGTTTGGAGTTATTTGAAGCCGATGCAGATGATTTTTTGAATCGTTTTGTTACTATGGACGAAACATGGGTTCATTACTGTACACCGGAAATAAAACAACAATCAAAACAGTGGAGAAGACCTGGTTCACCACCCCCTAAAAAGGCAAAGTCGATTTTGTCGGCAAATAAGGTGATGGCTTCAGTATTCTGGGACTCGAAAGGTGTGATTATGATTGATTATCTTGAAAGGGGTCAGACTATAAACTCTGATTACTACTGCACCTTACTACGTCGTTTACGAGAGGAAATAAAAGAAAAACGTCGAGGAATGCTCAGAAGAAAAGTCCTGTTTCATCAACATAACGCCCGTGTTCACACGTCAGTACAGTCAATGGCTGAAATTCACAACTGTGGCTTTGAACTGTTACCGCATCCGCCGTATTCACCTGATCTGGCACCATCAGACTTCTTTCTGTTCCCTAACCTAAAAAAGCACTTGGGAGGTCAAAGATTTTCGACAAACGACGAGGTCAAAGCAGCTGTAGACGCATATTTTGACTCTAAGGAAGAATCATTTTTTTTCAACTGTCTAAATGCTTGGAAGGGGAGGTGGCAAAAGTGTATTGAACTTGATGATGATTATGTAGAAAAATAAAAATATAACTGATTTAGTATGTGTTTATTTTCTTGGTTAGGCCGAGTACTTTTCAATCCACCCTCGTACTCTTTGGTAATTTTCTGGGACTTAGTTGTAAAAGCGTATTACATTGCCCCAAAGAATTACTAACTCTTTGGAGTCGAGTAGGTTGTTTAACTGGTTTAACTAACTTTTGCTTGTTCCTAGTATTTACAGAATGTAGGTACATTGGTCTTATCTACATATAATACTCTCATCTACAAAACAAATATATACATATTTTCAATCCCAGTGATATAATCCCATAGCAAGATTCCATATGACATTATGCTATGGAAATAACTAAAATAAACTAACCTAGCTGTTACAACACATGTAAGGCCTCTAATTCTTTTTAACCGCATATGCTGCAGAACTAAGTTTGTTAGCTAGTTTAGACATATGAGGGCCCCATTGAAGTCAAGTCAACAAAAAGTTGAAAAAAGTCAACCTGCCTCTAGGTGTCAAGAATGAGAGTATATTACATTATTTTAAGTATAAATAAACATTACTTTTATAACCGTATGGGGGAAACTATTTTACACCGAAAATCAAAAAATTAAATATTTTATATAGTAGAAAATATTTTATAAATAAATATATTATTATATTACCATCATCATCATCATCATTACAGCCCTTCACAAGTCCACTGCTGAACATAGGCCTCCCCCAAGTAATGTCACAAAGCACGGTCCTGAGCCACCTGCATCCATCGACTTCCTGCATGTTTTTTTTTTTTATAGAAGAGGGGGCAAACGAGCATGTGGCTCACCTGATGTTAAGTGACTACCGCCGCCCATGATCAACTGCAACACCAGGGGAATTGCAGACGCGTTGCCGGCCCTTTAGAAAGGAGTAAGCTCTTTTCTTGAAGGTCCCCAGGTCGTATCGGTCCGGAAAAATCGCTGGTGGTAAATTATTCCACAGAGAGGTTGTACGCGGAAGAAAACTCCTTTTGAAACGTACAGTGGTGGACCGCCAAGCATCCAGATGGTGTGGATGGTATCGGGACGTTTGCCGCGTAGTGCGTTCACGAAATTTGGCGGCTGGGATTAATCCGAACAATTCCTCAGAGCACTCTCCATGGTATATGCGAAAGAAAATGCAAAGGGATGCAACATCTCTTCGCAGTGCCAGAGAATCGAGCCGATCGGAAAGCACTCGGTCGTCGACGATTCGAGCCGCTCTGCGCTGGATGTGGTCAAGTGGAAGGAGCTGGTACTGGGGAGCCCCAGCCCAGAGATGGGAACAGTATTCCATGTGCGGCCGAACCTGCGCCTTGTAAAGTTGCAGGCGGTGTGCCGGCATGAAATACTGTCCCGCTCTGCTGAGCATGCCAAGCTTTTTTAGAGGCCAATTTGGCCTTCCCTTCCAAGTGACCACGAAACTGCACGTCACTCGATATGTCGACGCCGAGAATTCCGATACTGGCTGAGGCAACAAGGGGAGTGCCTTGAAACTGAGGGGGTACGACAAAGGGGTACTTTTTAGCGGTTAACGCGCAAACTTGTGTCTTCTGGGGGTTAAACTGGACTAGATTTAGTCGCCCCCAATCCGAGACTCTGTCCAGCAGAGACTCGACTTCAGACACAAGTTTGTCCCGGCACTCGGAGACGTTTTCCCGAGAAATATTGGCTCGGCCGGTGTAAAGAGCATCACCAGTGCTGTCATCTGCATAGCAATGAATGTTACGGGTCTGCAACATATCATTGATATGCAGAAGAAACAGCGTTGGCGATAGCACGCAGCCCTGTGGAACACCAGCATTAATAGGCTTGCAATCGGAGCTTGCACCGTCTACAACGACCTTGATGCTCCGATCTGCAAGAAAACTGGTGATCCAATCGCACAATTTCTCGGGAAGCCCATAGGAAGGGAGCTTCGAAAGAAGCGCT